CTCAGGCTGGTTTCGAACTCCTGAGCTCAAACAATCCGCCCGCCTCGGCCTCCCAGAGTGCTAGGATTACAGGCGTGAGCCACCGCGCCCGGTCTACACCCAGCTAATTTTAAAATTTTTTATAGAGATGGGGTCTTGCCGTGTTGCCCAGGCCGGTGTCAAACTCTTGAGCTTAAGTGATCTTTCTGCCTCGGCCTCCCAAAGTGCTGGTATTACAGGAATGAGTCACAATGCTAGCCTCATTTTATATTTTATTTAATGTAATAGTATGTTTTTAAGTCTGTGCCTTAAAAATTATACTTAACATCAGCCTGTCATTCTAAGTCATGATGAAGGGTAGCTGATTTAAAGTGTCAAGATAGAGAAGAGTAATCTGAATTGCATGTGTGTAGTTTCCCACTCTTAGCAATAGACTGGTTTACTTGAGAATGTCAGTTTAATGCTCACTGTTTTGTCATTTTTGTGTACAGGTTGAACATCTCAAATCAGAAAATCTGAAATCTGAAGTGCTCCAGAATCTGAAACTTTTGAGCACTGACCTCATGCTCAAAGGAAATGCTTAGTGAAGTCTTTTAGATTTCAGATTTTTTGATTTAGGATGCTTTAAGTATAATGCAAATATTCCAGCTTCTGCAAACGTCCCAAATCGCAGACTCTGGTCCTGGGCATTTTGGATAAGGAATACTCATCCCACACTTAATTCTAGGCCCTTAAGCAATAGCAGTCCCAGTCCTTTTTTTTTTAATCCAATGAATTTAAGAATAAGTCTAATTGGATATTGGGCCTAGAGATTGTGCTGGGTTTCCATTGTATGCATGCTGTTTTAGCTTAGGTGGCCTGCTTATTTGGGAACAAATGTGGGACCTGCTGGAGGAACAAAAGCAACTCATGTCCTCTTTGAGCATTGCCACCAAGGCTCTTCAAGAGTATTGTGCTTCTCAATTTTTAGGTGACTAGAAAGTAGTTTTCTCTTGAATCATTTTGGATATTTGGTCAAAGATTTAAAATTTTACATTGAGTAATGGTCTAAAAAAATATGCTCTTCTTAAACCCTTTAAGAATACAAAGATTTTAAATTTTGTATCAAATTATTTATTTTCTGATATTTTATTAGTATAATCCCATAACCTCCAAGTTTAAAGTTTCTACAATAGTTTTGGAAAGTACCTTATAATTCTGGGAAAATATGATTCTAATGATAATTTAATTATATGTTAGAAGCGACATATATTTGGCAAATAAGTATTTTTCATGATCCTGTGACACAGGTTGATAGGTGAAATGATTTTTAAGATATGAAAGTAATAATTAATTAAAAGAGCTTTCCTTCTCTTTTGAAAACTTCTGTTAGGTAACAGAAATCCAGGATTGGAGTGCATCAAGCCCACACAGTGCAGCCTATGTTCTCTGGGATAATGGTGCTAAGAACCTTTACAGAGTTGGCTTCGAGGGCATGGTAAGTAGTGAAGAACCACACAGATGAAATGTTGGATGGGTGAATAGCCCTTGTGCTCTTTTATTTTTTTACCTTGTGCTGTTTCCTTTTGTCAGAATATAGCAGGCTGGGCGCGGTGGCTCACGCCTGTAATCCTAGCTCTCTGGGAGGCCGAGGCGGGTGGATTGTTTGAGCTCAGGAGTTCGAGACCAGCCTGAGCAAGAGCGAGACCCCGTCTCTACTAAAAATAGAAAGAAATTAATTGGACAACTAAAAATATATAGAAAAAATTAGCCGGGCATGGTGGCGCATGCCTGTAGTCCCAGCTACTCGGGAGGCTGAGGCAGGAGGATCGCCTGAGCCCGGGAGTTTGAGGTTGCTGTGAGCTGGGCTGACGCCATGGCACTCTAGCCTGGGCAACAGAGTGAGACTCTGTCTAAAAAAAAAAAAATAATACAGCCATCTCAGTTATGAATATGCAACAGGAAGGAAATCTGTAAAGTGCGAATTTAATAAACTTGTGAGACCTTTACATTTTTACTATGTTTGTCTAAATTATTTAATAGTCAGTATGATTTTGCCCTCAGTTAATGTTTGGGCACCTTACTATATATTCATTGTGTAGAGTAGAGCTGATCCATTATCAATGTAAGTCTGGGGAATTTATTTACTAAAATCTATCAAAAAAGTTTAAAGTCATCTGTAAGACCATTCCTTGGCATGGACCTGAAGGTATTATAACGAGGTTTTATGGTATATTTGTATTCTGTGTTCCAGTAGCTGATAAAAGTATAAATTATAATAGGTATTTAAATTATTTTTAAGGAGATTTTTTTTCCCCTGTAAGTTTTAAAATGTAGTGTCGATAATTGAAAATGATTGACCTAGAGACACCTCAAGTTACTTAAGTGTTTAGAAGAATAGTGGAGGGTTATTCAGTGGATTGCCCTATGTTTCTGTGTTTTATGGACTTATTCAGACGTTGATCTTGATATTTATAGAGTATAATGAATGCCAAAATATTAATGCTTTTCATATCCTTTCCATCTTTAATACATTCCCCATTCGAAGAGTTGTTTCAATTTCATTTTTTTCCAACTATCTTGTATGCCTCATTAGAAAGGGAGAAAATATCCCACTATTCCCTTAATTTATTCCATTTATATATAAAAGCCAGCCATGTGAGTTTAAACAAATACATTATGTGCCAACTATTATCATTATATATAACATCAGTTATCAGTTTTTTATTATTGTCTTCGTGGCTCTACTTGTTTTTAACTTGAATTTTTGTAGGATTCTGAGTGATTATTCTTTCAAGTGAAGGCTATGTGCTGTATTTAGTGAGTAGCATATATAGATTGATGGCTGAGTAGTACTCCTTTCTATGGTTATACCATTATTTATTTAACGAGATTTTTGTTGATGGATAGATATCTGGATTGGGTTTTGTTCCCTCCACCACTGCTGTAAGCAGTGTGTCAGTAAGCATCCTTGTTCATATGTCTTTGCACATTATGGGTATATTTTCTTAGGATAGATTCTGGGTTAAAGTATTACTTTAAAGCAGTTCGACCCCTGTGTCTCTTTGGCCAGGATTGAGTGATAACAAAAGAGGCTTGTAAGAGTTGGGTTCTGTGTGCACGTGTGTGTATGAGTGCATGCATGCATGTGCAAAAAGGAGCTCCTTTTCTCAATAAAGAGTAAGAAATACTGATCACCTACTATGTATGCCACATACTGTTAGGCACTTTTTTTTTCGAGATAGCATCTTGCTCTGTTGCCCTGGCTAGAGTGCAGTGGTGTCATCATAGCTCACTGCAACCTCAAACTACCGGGCTCAAGTGATCCTCCCACCTCAGCCTCCTAAGTAGCTTGGACTACAGGCACTCATCACTACACCTGGCTAGTTTTTTTTTATTTTTTGTAGAGATGAGGGTCTCGCTATTTTACTCAGACTTGTCTCGTACTCCTGGCCTTAAACTATCCTCGCCGCTTGGCCTTCCAAAGTGCTAGGATTATAGGTGAGAGCCACTGTGCCTAGCCATATTAGGCACTTAATTACTTAAGTAACTCCACTTCTGAGTTTTGACAGTAACACCCAAGGTTGTTCTAAGTCCACATTTTCTGTAGTTTTTATTTTACCACAACTACCTCCCCATTCAAAGTTCTTTATAATTTGTTTTGTTTTCTTTTTTTTTTTGGAGACAGAGTCTTGCTCTGTTGCCTGGGTTAGAGTGCCGTGGCGTCAGCCTAGCTCACAGCAACCTCAGACTCCTGGGCTCAAGTGATCCTTCTGCCTCAGCCTCCCAAGTAGCTGGGACTACAGGCATGCACCACCATGCCCGGCTAATTTTTATA